GCCAATCCTAGTTGAAATGGTGTGATTTTATGTGCAGAAGCATAATTTAGAAATGCTATGGAAATCTCATCATCGAAAGAGATTTGAGCTACCGAAGCAAAACCAGATCGTTGATCGGTTGATGAACGTTGCCTATCAGTTGGCAATGATAATTGATATTCGAGATTGTATATTTGAAGTTGTGATTTCCAAAAGTCACTTGATAATGTCATATCCATTTGACGTTCATAAACGGAATAATCACTGTATTGTAGTGATTCTTCGTGAATCGACATTGTTAAGCTATCATTATACGCATGGCATAGTTCATCGAAAAAGATCTCATGAGAGGATCGATCAGATGCTACATGATGGAAGGCAATGATGAGAATATCAGAGTATGCGATGAATACATTGTCATTGATCTTTTCAATGAAGTTTGGTTGACGAAGTATTTGACAATGAAAAACTCGACCACGAGACAAATCGAATAGATTAGGATCGATAGCTGTTTGATAGATAATATTCTGAAGTTCATTGTCATCTTTGAATGTCTTCTCAGGTGCCAATGTGAATGTTTCATGTCTGTTAGTAATACATTGTTTTAGAGTACCAGTCTCTTTGTCCAATACGAGAGATGTACGTAGTACTGTCTGTTTGGTCAAAACAGATCGGAGCGCACTTAATAGTTGCTTTATTGATGATGAACCTCTGACAACTCTCAAGACAGTCAATTCATTATAAATGGCCACTTTTTTCGTAAAGCGAACTTGTTCATCAAGTAATATGCGCTCTTGAGCGAACGATGCAATACCTAAAAAGTTGACAGTGTAATGTTTCATTCTGATCAAGTAGTGAGTAGAAAAATTTGTTACCTTGAATAAGATGTAATGTATGCCACTGTGTTGACTTCATGTTATTTCTTGAGACTTTTTCGAGTAATTTTGCATGTTGAAATATAGTTGGTTGTTCAAGAAAAGAAGCAATAGAGAGGTCGTGAGTATCAAAGCCAAATAAAGTTTGGTAGCAATGATAGAGTTTGATGAAGAGAAGTGAATGGCCACCAATACTAAAAAAGTTTTTCGTAAGCGAAATTTCTTGGCCAACACATTGAAGTACTTCAGACCAAATAGTACGGATACTTTCTTCCAACCGATTGTAAGAAACTATCGATATATCTGTCGATAATAAACCTACTGAACACAAATTAGGCGAGGGAAGAAGTTTTCGATCTATTTTTCCATTTGCATTCAAAGCTAGTTTCTCCAAGACGATAAATATGGATGGAACCATATGAGGTGGAAGATGAGACTGACAATGTTTACGCAGTTCTTCTACATCAATGTTAGTGCTTTGAACATAAGAAACCAACTGATCATCACCCCATTTGATGACAAC